TTATTAACAAGCCGAATATTTCTCTTGATGACATAGTTTATTAGTTTATTATTTCCAATAGTTTATTTCCAACGATTGCACAGAAAATAATGATTTTCCATTATCTATATTTAATGAAGTACTAAATACCAGTGTCATAAGGGTCGACAGATTCAGCGACAATTACTGTTACAAATTTTAATCATAAAAATTAATGAGGTGTTTGCAATATTAAAAGCAGTACTTTTTTCTTCATTTTAATCTTTATAAATAATTATCTATTAATAAACAATTATTTTAAAGAACAATTAAGCTTCTTTCATGTTGATTTTTTCATCAAATTGGATTATTTTATTCACAGAGAAGCCGTTATGTCTGTAATCAAGATATTCAAATCAACATATTCAAATGAAGAGTTCAAAACAGTGGAAGAACATAAACTTTACAAACTTGCAAGACGCAGACTTAAGCTTTTTCTTCCCTATGGTATCACTCTCCATCGGGCAGAAAACGTGGCAATCATGTACTCTTCAAAGGTTTTATACCTAAGTACACACATCGTAGACCTATAGGTAACACTGAAGCTGGTGCTATCGACGTATTCTTTGTACTTGACAACGATCCACGATGCCATGGCGTTTACCTTACGCATGTTGACACTGTTGCCAATAGCAACGATACAAATTTTTATTCCTAAAATGGAAAAACAATAGCTCAACTTATATACAGTAATTAGAAGGAAAAAGTGGAAAAACATATTTTAATAATTCAATGAAACAAATAAGAGTTTGTTTTCGTCAATAGGTAAAGAAAATATGAACTTAAGGTTTACTAGCGAATATTCCGTGTGCTCACCGTTAGAGTTTATGCTGACTGTCAATATACAGAATACTGGCTGATAAATATCGGCAAATAATTCCCTAAACTAGTAGCTATTGTCAAAAACAGTAATAATTTTCCAATATAATAAGGCTAATGGAGCTGTCCAACGTGAATAAAGCCCTGTTGTCTCAACTTAAATATTATGTTGAACAATTTTGTTCATTTGCGTTAAACTGGCTTTGATGTAGCGGAAGTACACACCATACTTCTTCATGGCATTTGCCCTGGTCACCGGGTAACCCCACGTGTTATGCTGTCCATCACTGATCATCCAGACTAGGCGTTCGCCAGAGAAACCAAGCTGACCTTTACACCTCCCCAAAGCATCGAAAATATTCGTCATACCACCTGTGAATATACGTGATATACAAATGTATGAAGCCATAGAGCTCCTCCTTTCTTTTGGAAGTGTTTATTAAAATGAAATTATTTTTGACGGATTTGGTAAGTATTGGATCACATACAATAGAGTACCGCTTTCAATATTGCAAATACCTCATTTAATGATTAAAATTTGTAACAATAATTGTCGCTGAATCTGTCGATCCTTATGATACTGGCATTTGGTACTTCATTAAATATAGATAATGGAAACTCATTATTTTGTATGCAATCGACATCAAGAAGCATGTTGATGTAAATGCTTTGCCTAACCCTTCTACTCCGAGTTTTGATAAAGCAGTTCGATGTCGAAATATTCATAACAGCGTTTGTTTGCGTGTGTGTGTGTGCGTGTGTGTGTGTGTGTGTATGTATGTATGTGTGTATATGTTTGTATGTATGAACATGTGGGTATTTGTATGTATACCCAGCAGATAATGTGAAGTTCATAATGTTGTTCATATTATGAGCTACGTGTATACTGATATTAACAAATTCATCGACCTTACCTAACTTAGGCACGGCGGCAATAGCGGCATCATTCTGTGGGTAGAACGGGTAAGTCCCCAGAAAGAAGATGTGCTGTGCCCGGGAAGAGAAACGTACCAGACCAATCCTATGTTTCTCAAGGGCTATACTATTCTGGCTGGGAGTATTGTTGATGATGGCAAGGATGTCCTGAAACAATATTCAAAAAGCATTGTTACGTGTTACAAAAATGTCTTCGGGCTCATTCCTGATGAAAATATCGGTTCAACTCCGCGGTGACTCTCGCTGAATGCAATCAACCTACTAGTACGTAGAATGAGTAGAATTAGGCCTTTAATAAAAACGTATTATATTGTGGTATATTTGAAAAAGTTTATATTTGGTTGTCTACATGTAATCTTAACACTGTTACACTGTCTGTTTTACAATGAAATGCTTTGATCCCCTGATTATTTTTCAGACAGTCGGGCAATGTTATCAAATATTAATCTAATCCAATAATTATTTTCTATTCTTTTTGTAAATGGAAATGTGTAATGCCAAATGACCAAGACCAGTATACATATATCTCACCCGGGTAGCCCATTTGGACATTTTCCATTCAGTGTTGTTAATGGAGTCACTGCTGTCCAAAGCAAAGCAAACATTCCAGTAGGAATGAGCACCGCCCATCAGAGCATTGGTGATCTGCTTTGCTGTGAGAGCCTCAGTGCCCAGACCATTTAAGGCCATTCCAACAGCAACCAGCAGCACCAGCGCGACTAACTTCATCTTCGGTGACGGCAAGAACTTTGTCCACGTGCAGATGATAGAAGTGTGGCTTCCTCTGTTGCTTTTATAGAGACCGGCGTCCAAACAGATGTATGACTTACTCACACGGCCTGCATTTATTACAATTTATTTCCCTGTAGTAATTTTTGACAAAAGACTGGAATCTAGATTATTGTAATGCATACAAAATTGTAATAGCTGCACAAGACAATCATCAGGTATTCCTTTAAGCCATTGCTTCTGGTGACACCTGTTGACTTAGATTAATGAAAAGTGTGCGGGTAACGTTTAAGTAAATAATTTACTAAAATAAATGCATAAATAGAACATTTACCGGTATGTGAAATTTGTATAATATATCCTGATGCCATTTTTTAAATGTTTATCTTTTGTAAGAAGTTTGTCCATCTGCATGTCCCATACCACATCTGATACAACTTTTGATACAACTGGCAAAGTTTGGTTGCAACTTCATACCCCCCTAAAAACAAGCACACACACATACACACACATATACGTCATTCTAATCCATGAACGTGCTTCACCTCTCAGTACAGCCTGAGACCTTGATATCCTGGTGGCAGCTTCTGAGAGTCGTGACATAGAGATACATTCATTTTTCATATATTTTAATGTCAAATGGATACGATTCCATTAATTGCACATTAAAGGAGTTGTAGTAAATTCAACTGAATAAAAGCTAGACAGTCATGAAGTGCGAGTGTCATTTTGTTAGGTTGTGATTAAAAAATAATACAACTAGCAGCATCAGTGCAGCTAAATTCATCTTCAAGGACGGCAGAATTTAGAAAAGTAGCTACCTGATTTACAGAGAGACAGGCAGCCAAACGTGTATGTAGAATATGTAGCGACGAACGCTGTATCACATGTGGTATGGGGTATGCAGATGGACGGCTTTGTTCAAGCAACGTTTGGATGTAACATCACCCCACCCCCCCAAATACACACATCAATCCAACCCATGAAACGTGCATCACCTCACAATAAAACCTGAGGCTTGGGGACATGGTGACAGCTTTCACCTCACAGTGCTTGTCACAAGTTGGGGTACTTTTAAAAACCATTTTCTGAGAGTCGTGACATAGAGATACATTCATTTTCATATATTTTAAAGTCAAATGGTTACGATTCCATTAATTGCACATTAAAAGTTAATGTAAATTCAACTAAATAAAAGCTAGACAGTCATGAAGTGTGAGTGTCATTTTGTTAGGTTGTAATTAGTTTGATTAAAAAGATAATACAACCAACAGTATCAGTGCAGCTAACTTCATCTTCAGTGACGGCAGAATTTAGAAGAGTGTTATGTGTTCTGTTTTATAGAGAGACAGGCAGCCAAACAGTTATGTGGGCAAAATATTAAATCGATTGCCATTACTCTCACAGACATTCTATGAATAAATATTTATTTCCGTGTTAGAGCTAATCGTTATTTGGTAGACGCTTATTTTCACACAAAAATCTTTCTTGAAAAAATACTTGTATCTGGACTACCGTAATGTTCACAACAACGTTGAGCCCAGTTCAGTTTATACCACACAGTATATGTTACTGGAAAGCATGCGAATTAGAATTGTGATCAATCCCTTCACTTTTGTAAGCAACATTTAAATAGGCTATTAATTGGTTTGTGGAGCATTCCTTTATTCCAATTTTGAAAACGTTTCTCTGTTTGACGACATGCGTATGTGGGCGGTTACACAGTGAGCTGTAATGATCGATTTGTATGGAACGACTTGTGAACATTACAAAAAGATTTATACTCTAGAAGTTTTAAGACGGGCGTCTTATGGATTAATATGAGGCCAGAAGCTGCGTCAAACTACTGCCGCGAACCCCGACTAAATGACGCCACATATATAGTTACAAAGAGTACATGTACATGTATTACGTGAAGAAATACCGCAGAGATTCGTTACATTTTTCCCGGACAATATCTACTCAATTTTTCTTTGCTTTAAGAAAAGGATAAATGAAAGTAAGCAAAGAATGCGCAGTTTTAAGACTTTCACTCTGCTTGTTTTTTAACAAGTAGATTTTATTTGTGGCATGTTCGAAATTGAGTCTACAAATGCATATAGGCTTATAAACGACACGAGGCTTTTTGGTTTAATTTCATAAGTATCTTTGAATAGGCCTACGTATATTTGAAATTTTTAATTTCAGTCTGTTTTTACAACTTTTCATGATGATGGAATTGATAAGAGTTTTGTATTAAATTCTTGGTTTATTATTATTATTATTATTATTATTATTATTATTCGTAAATATCATTGGCCGGGAGCGCAGCGCGGTAGGCCTACATTAAAGTAGCCTACTATCGACCCTATATATATGAAATATTTCTATGTGAAGGTCTCTTTTAACGTGACAAATAGGGCGTGGACATATACTCAGGTTTGAATGACAAGAATGCGTTTCACAAAGTATAACCAGAATATTTTTACATTGCTGACAAAAAAAGGAAAGTTGAAATGTATGGTTATACAGAAGATTTCATAGTTTATTGGTAGGCCTATATATATTCCGTTAATTAGGAACAATGCGCTGCCATGTATCTTTTCAACGTCCCCTTACTATACATAAAAACCAACCTTCTTTATATCGTTAAAACCTGGGACCGCAGATAGGCTTAGACAGATATATTTCCATTGGCGACAAATGTTTAGTTTTAAAAAATATACAAAATGAACATCAGAATGACTATAGTGGTGAATTCACCATTATTTGGTATCACGCATAACAGGAACCATTCTCAGTTTGGAAGAGGTGGATTCTGATAAATATATACCGATGTTAAAATATTGGATGAGACATCATTCTGATCGTTGTTAAAGCAGGCCTATTACAGGAGGTTATGCCCTTAAAACCATTCCAGCACTGACATCAAAATGTATCTGCCGTCCTTCGAATAAACCTTGACCTTGACCGAGGCGTCACCATGGAGCGCACGTGACCCTCGAAGGGCCCCTTGGCACATAAAGCAATCATTAATTGTTTATCGTTATATACCCTTGTTTACACGGCGACTAAGAGATGTGTGTATAACTTTTCATTGGATGAGGACAGAAGTCTGTAGGGCAAGGATGAGACGCCATCTTTTGCCTGGCGTTTCTTTGAGCCTTGCAGAAGTGCCATTCTGAAAGACAATAAGTACATTTGTATATGGATCATTGTACATAAATGGGAACCACCAAATAGTTGTAAATACGACATTAATGATGATGACATGCTGGACAAATAACAATGTCGAACTCGGACAGGAGACAACCTATCTAGGTCACAGACTAGTACAGCTAGTGGACTCAAATGTTTGATATGAATTATAATTCGCATATAGCTTTTGCTTTGATGAAATTTCTCCCTCATGAGGTGTGAAGTAGCGCTTAAGAGTTAAATCAAACAAGATTTCTCAGGATTTGGAGGACAGAGGAGGCAGAAACAATGGCAGACCCGCGCCTGCGGTGAAGCAATTTATTTTAATTACTGCACGAGTTCTGGCATAAAGGAGACAAAATTTTATCGTTGTTTTCGCATAAGTTTTGAAGAATTGCGGCGTTTTGCACAACAATGTGCATTCGCCATTGTTTGTTAGTTACTAATGGACTGCTTTCTAAAACGACATTTCGAACACATAGAATCACATTGTACACCACCTTGGGTGATTTCCTTAAAGAAGATTTAATCAATGGCTGAAATCAGGGTTCTATTATTAAGCACGCAAAGTGCGTTCAACTTAGTTCATTGAACGAATTCAATTTGACCCGTAGTGGGGGCGTGATCGCTATAAATGTGACCATTTGCTTTAATAATTTATTTATTATTGCTATTATTATTTTTGCCTACCTTCTAGGATTTTTATCCCTGTCCCCGTGTATTAAGGACGTGTAACGACCTATCTCCGGTGGAACTCGCTCAAAATCCATGGCTGAAGCTTTCATCCTTGGGGTTAAAATAAATTATGTTAGTTTTAACGTAACTGCATTGCAGAGGTAAAGCTTCTAGCGGTGGGCCTATGCAAGAAGGATAATTTTGAATATAAAGATGGTACAGAAATAAATTGGTTTCTATATCAATGATGCTCCTTCGATATACATAATGTAGCAGAACGGAAATATCTCAGATTTAAACCTATTGAGCTCTCTCTCTCAACCTCCCTCTCTCTCTCTCTCTCTCTCTCTCTCTCTCTCTCTCTCACCTGTATGCCATGTCGTCGTCCTCTCCGCCCCACCCCCAGAACTCGTTCGAGTAACCGTTCAGCTTCAGGAAATCCTCACGAGGAAAATTCATAACTCCACCCACCAGAATAGTGTACCGCGTTCTGAAATAAATAAATAAATAAATAAATAAATAAATAATGGGAGCGCATCATTTACAAGCACATCATTTAGCGTTCAAGATCTAACGAAATGTAAAATGCAAAATAGCAGAAATAACTTAATATGGATACATCGTCGTTACGTTTAAAATCTAAAACTTAATAAAATATATTATAAACATCTTTATGAAATACATGTTCAGCATCGTGAGTTAACCTGTAATTATCCTGGCTTGGCGCCGACGACATGTGAACTGGTAAAGAAAAACATTTGTACGTGTTGCGATCGTCCTCCGGCACTAGATCCACGTCATGGAAGATGACGCACTGGAAGTCGAACAACTTGGCGGCTTCAATATACCCTGCGTTCATAACGCGTCCCTTGTTCCAAGTGCCTACTCCTGCCTATAAAAATAGACAGACAGACAGATAGATAGAAAGATATATTCCCATAAAAGTGAAGCCATCCACCAGAAATTCAATTCANCCCTCTCTCTCTCTCTCTCTCCTCCCTCCCTCCTCTCTCTCTCTCTCTCTCTCTCTCTCCTCCCCTCCCTCCTCTCTCCTCCTCTCTCTCTCTCTCTCCTCCCCCTCCTCTCTCTCCCTCTCTCTCTCTCTCTCTCTCTCTCACTCGGGTTATTACCTGTTCTGCCACAAATATCCTATAGTGCACCTGTTGTCTCTGTAATAACGGGTGGAGGTACCTCAGCTGTACTTTAAGATGTGGCAAACGGTCACGATACGGGATGATAATTGCCACTTTGTGCCTAATGTTAGATAAATGAATAAATAAAAATGTAAATAGTCATAAAAATAATGATGAAAAAACACCAAGAATCAAATACAAAACTGTGATTAATGACATCATTAAAAAAAAAGATAAATAAAAATATTGATAATTAAAGGTACATACGAACCGAGCATCGGTGGAGCGTGGATTCCCTGTAACACATGTAAATCACTTCTACTAGATTCTTATATGACTCAAATAAATTCGACATGCCAAGGGATAAACTGAATAGATCACTTGATCAGCCATAAAAGACCTTTAGACTGCTCCTTTCTTTAAATTTTTGGTTGTAAATTTAACCTTCTTTTGTGACCTACTTTCCTGCCCCATTGACATACAGCTTAGAATGCCAGCAGAAAAATCCGTTCAAATATCATTTTCGGGTAAAATTAAACAATTCCTTTTGGTAATCCTCTTAGTTATACTACTTGAAACTATATACTGGCATTTGGTTGGTTTTTGTGACAAAAAATTGACTTTGTATGCATCTTTAACGCCAGTAAACTGTATAACTGATAAAATATGGATGGAAACATATACTATGAATCCAGTTATTTTACTCTCCTGGATCGCATTTGCACATATTAATAATTAATTTAATAGTATGTTCATACATTAAAATGTCGGGAGCAGCATTTGTCAACTATAAAGTTACAATTTCATAAAACAAAACAGGTAGAAAAGACAGGCAATTCCTACCTGGGTTTACAGTTAGAAGGTTTCCACTCCCCCCAGTCCACGTCTGGCATGGCTTTCTTCTGTTCGTTGAGGTCTGCTGTCACGTTCACGTCTACATGTATGCGGCCCACTGTTACAAAACAGGACATATCAAATGAATAAATATTAAAATAAATAATAAGCAAATATAAATTTAAATCCTTGAAACCTCTTGGGGTTTGGAGAGACTCTAACAGACAAGTGAATGAAATTCAACTACAATTCAATGTATGAAAGGCGATTGAACTTAAAGAGATATAAACTCTTCGTATGACAACCATATTTCACAACCATTGTAAACAACTCACAAATATAATAAATTCCATTTTAACACCAAAACAGCGGTTATTGCAATTATTCAGGAATCTGTGCTTGCCATCAAACCACTCGGATCTTCATAGATGGCTGTTCCTACATAATAATCTCAAAAGAGATTATTTTAAAAACTTTTGTGAAAGAAAAATAAACTTTGAATGTCGTTATGGACACAATGGCCATTGGTAAATCTAGGAAAGTCGTAGTTTACCTCAAGAAATCCGTTTTTTTTTTCTTTTTTTGGACCAAAACGAACAATTGTTTTCCAATTAAAAAGTAAGACTTCTTTGGTAGTTATTCTTTTTTTTTTTTT